CATTTGTCCGTGCAAGTTTTTCGAAAAGCTTTCCCTTTAGAAGTAAAAACTTGTTTTTTTCAACCGAACTAAGGCGGAAGCGGGGTGTGGATGTGTTGGGGGGAGGGCATTTGACATGTGTTTGCTGCAGCAGCAAGCAAGCCACTTCTTCCTTCTTTTTCGCCCTTGTGGCTAAAAAGAACTTGGCAAGTTTTTCGGCGTCTCTAAGCTTCTGCCGGCCAAGAAAAGTATATTCATTATTTTGTTTTCATTTTCTGCGGCTGCCCGAGAGCGAAGTTTGCAATTGAATTTTATTGTATCTCCTTGGAATTTAGTCAAAAATAATACGGCCCTTTCAAATAGATTTTTATGCGAGTGTGCGAGTGCCAAAAGGAAGAAAGGGGGGGAAAATAAAGTGGAAAGCCCATTATGGAAGGCCTCTTAGTAGCTACTATGTAATGGGTTTTCTACGAATCGAGTGAATTAAACTTAATGTTTGTTTATTTATTTTTATGGCTCTAGTTTAGGAGATATATATATAGATACCTTTTGTTCACTATTTGCATTATCTTCTCAACTAAAATCAAGAAATATTACGCAAATCAGCAACGTAGCGAAAACCCAAAGAGACCACAGTTAAATACACATACAGAGCAAACCAAATGAAAGGAAGTGGGTGGAAAGTTGTGGGAGTTGGCCAGGAAAAACGAAGAAATAAACCCCAAGCCAGAACCTAAAAAATGCTTTTATCATTCTTCAAATGCTGCATACATTTTGGCTTTATTATACACTGAAAGGAAAATGTTTTTAGTTTTTTAGGTTCTGATAAATCGGAAAAGTTTTTAATCAGACATAAACTCACAACAATAGAAAATTCAGAATAAATAATAAATATCTTACCTAAAACATAATTTATTTTGAAATTTTTTAAGACAGTTCTTTCTTCTCTTTACTGAGTAATATTTATTTATATTTAATACCTTTTTTTTATAGTAAAGTATAATTTTTAGTGTAAACGCCTGCTCTATTTTCCCCCTCGAATTTTCCCTGCCCCTACATATGCCGCAGTTGCTCTTTGCTAATGGCCTGATGACGCGTCATCGTCGTCCCATGGGCTGCTTTTCTGTCTGAGAGTCGCTCGCAAATTATAATTGAGTGCATGGCGAGCGCATTGAACTGTGGGGTCTGCCTGTACCATCACTCCTCCACCATCTAGTATACATAGTATATATAGTTTAAACTGTATAGTTAATGCAAAGTACCCGTTAATTCGAAGGAGAATTGATAGAATTTTCAACAAATTAGGGAAGTAAATAGATTATTTACAAAAATACTTAACCAAAATTTTGTAAATAAATTAGAATTTGCTTGATCAGATGATAAAGTGAAATATATTAGTGATTCATATATATCTAACCTGAGGTATCTATAATCTCATCTTATGAATAACTTATCTTAAGATAACAGTAAGGATTTCCCATTAAAAGGGGTATCAAAGATCCCACTACGTAGACCACTTCGACCTATTACATACCTTTATTCCCCCTTTTTCTGCGGTAAAAAGTCAAGGCTCCAATGGGAATTCCAGGAAAAACCTCCAGTTAAAGATGTGAACTCGTCGTCTGAATATGGAAGCAGCTTCTGTTTCTTTTTATTTTATTTTTTTTTGTATTTTACCACTTGAGACGCACAGGTCTCCCTGCCATTTGGGCCATAAATTCGAGCGCCACATTTCGCCATTTTAATGAATGGTTTTTTTAATGCAATGGTTTTTGGCTCGTTAGGAAGAAGAGAGCGACCGAAACGGCAGCATTGCTCTGGCTGCTTTAATTTATTGACTAATTTAGGCGGCTGGAGCGGTAAGAGCTCTACTAGCAGTCAGTAATAGATACTTTTAGCCTCTGCTAAATGGGCAAACAGGCTTTTGGCTTTTTAATTAGACGCTATGTTGCCTTTTTTTTCGTTTTGGCAAGGGAATTTAATTTAATTAATGCAGATTTGATGGTAATACTCAAGGTCATTGGGGTTGGGGAAGTAGCTTGAGTGGGATAAGTAATCTCATAAAGTCACAATTAATTGGAGTGAGGGGAAGGGGAAAAGCTCAACCCAAGGGTTTCCAATTTGCGCAACAACCGAATGAACACATGTGTTTATGGCTGCCCCCGGAAAAACAGACAAACCCTTTTTCAGAGCCCTTTTACTCCACTCCTTTGATTCCCTTTAAGCTTGTAGACTTCACTGTAGAAGTACTGTTAAAAAATATATTTATTTTAAATTTTCTATATTTTGCTTTTAATTCCCAATTATATTTTTAATTCAAATTATTAAAATATATAAAAAACATTATAGTTTTAAAATCAATTTGTCGTTCCCATAAAATTTGTTCTTCTTTATTCACATGCCCCAAAAAGTATGCTTTATGTTTTCGGGGGAACACATTTAATTTGCTTCGTGCGAGATTTTATCTGCTTTCCACGCCATTGCTGATTCTCTCAGCTCACACCCTTAGAACTTCTCACTCCCTTAGAGTTTGGGGGAAAACCCTCCACCCCCTACGGTCTTTTACCCCCCTCCATTGGGCACCTTTTGTCATCGTTTTCTCCTGCTGTGCGTCCTTCGCGTTCTGGGCGCGATAACAGGCATCATAAATCCTTTGCTCCTTGTAAATGGCACCCCGACAGATCCCCCAACAGCAGCTGCCACGCCTCCTGCCTACGCCCAAAGAGGAGAGAGAGGATGTTTGTAGGTGTAGACTGAAACAGAAACAGCTTCTGTTTCGCTTTTGGCCATCGTTTGTTATTGTTTGCGGTTAGTTGGCCGCATTTCCTCCCCTTTTCCCTCTTTACATATATCAAATTCAGAGGCAGGTCAGCTCCCAAGAGTGGAAAGGGGGGAAAAGGGAGGTTAGGTGGCTTGATAGCTCAGAGTGAGGCATTTTCCTTTAGTTTTCCCCCAAGTCGCGCTTGGCTGAAGACTGAGGGGCTGGCGGAAACTTCAGGCATTAAGTGCGAATAAGCTTCAATATGGCTTTGAAATGCAACTAAAGGTGGTTTACTGGCATTAAAGTTGTCTAAGGAATTAAATGTCCTTAATTTAAACTGAAGACTTTAATATTTTTTATAAAAAAAAAGGAAATTATTGTATCTCACACACATTTTTCTTCATTCGAATCACTTTTCATCCCATTTTCCATTAAGCATATTAAATTTGATTTACCTCCTGATCATACCCCCAATTTGTGACCTCTTATTTACCATTCCATATTTAAGTTACTTTCATAACTTATTGGCTGATGTTTTATACCTAAACTTTTCCTCCGAGTTTTCCCTGAGCCCGTCTGCATTCAATTTTTCGCGATGCTTTGCCTGCCTCAAGGAGATTAGCTACGGAAAAAAGAAGGGAAAATCGTTGGAAAAGTGGTGAAAAACCTAGCCACGTTGCTCATTTTTGGTCGTCTAACGTTTTTCAGAGTGTTGGCGACAATTTGCCGGCCAAAAAGGGATTAAAAAGTTGCCACCGTGGGGACTTTTGCATTTATGCGGGTGGCGGGTGGTAAATCCAGAAACAGGGAAATCGAGGAGGGAGGCGGAAATCTAGTGGGGGGCGCTGTCACCGTATCATGTGCAGCCTTTCGTTTTGCATGCAGTGCGAAAATTTTCTCACTTTCTATGACTGACTATCTCTCTCGGTCAGCCAGCAGCTTTCTCTTTCACTCTGTTGGGGAATATCTATTTGAATTTCAAATCTAGGGGGCTTCCTTTTTTACCCCCCTCCCTTTCCCCATTTTCAACCGCTCCCCTACCCTTCCCCTTTCTCCACCCGCCCGGTTTTCCCCGCACGTTTTGCGTTTTCAAAGTGACGCCTGCTGCTGCCCGTCGCGTTAATAAGCCTCCCCGAAAAACCACGCCTACTAGTTTATGTTGCTAGTTATGCACTGCAAAATAAATTTATTTTTATAATTTAATGCAATTTGTAAACAAAAACTGATAAAAATGTACTGACTTTTAGGGAATTTAAGGTAATCATCATATCTTCCAGATATTATAATTTTCATATTATATTCAATCAAAGCATCATTAAAATGGATTACTTTAAATTACTCATTATACAACATTTTATTCCCAAATTTTATAGAATTTTTCCCTGTGTATTTCCACCAGAACCGTTTCGTTTTTCCTTCTTTTTCACCCAGCAACATGAGGCTAATGCAATCTTGACAAGCGTTGTCCTGGACAACCGAAAATGAGGCTTGACACTTTTGATTTGGTTTTACTGGACCACCCGACTATCATCCAGTATTTCCACTGCTACCTCTCCTCTTCCACTCCCCTCTACTGCCATCCCTCCCCCCTGTGCCTTTGCCTGTGCAGAAAACAAACCAAAGCTGAATTTTCACCCTTTCCAACTCATGGCGAATTTTTGATTTGTCGGTCCTCGGACGTTGTTTGTTGAGCCTATATGATGGGCGTATATTCTGAGGGAGGAGAGCGGTGAAGCTGGGAAAGGGGAAGAACTGACGGAACTGAGACAATGCCAGAAGGCGACTTTTTGATAGTCAAAAATGAGTTGAAAGCTTCAAGAGGGAGCGATGTTCTGAACTCTTTTTCTAGCAATAAAAACATGAGATACAGTAAAGCTGCCGGAATTTGGCTTTAAAATTGGATTAAAAAAGGAGTATTAAATAAATATATTGGATTTTATTTTTTTAAATTGATAAATTAGTTTATTTTCACCTGTTTTTTAAAGTTCAGCAAAAAATTTTACACCAACTTTTTGCAAACCTTATTGTGGGTTTTAAAAATATATATTTCCTAATAATTATATAAATTAAACTTATAAATATTTTAATTATAAACTTACACAAAAGCCGTTATTAAAATTTCAAAGTCCTCTAACAGTTCGATAACATTATAATCGATAACAGAATGTTAAGTAAAAGAGCTCATCTGGCAGCCGCACAACGGCAACGCAATGGTGAGAAATCCCATAACGCGTTCTGCCAACAGAGAGCGACGAAATAGAGTGCAAGGCGGGCGCTGAAAAAACGGTTATCACAGTTGCGTTCTCTCGCTCTTCGCAACAAGTCGTGGGTGTCGGATTAGCGGTAAAATCGCATTTCCCAGTGGAAATTCGGCACGCTTGAAAGTGAAAACAAAACGTACACGCACGCACACACATACGCATCAACGAATTAAATCACAAATAAAGCTGAAAACGGTACAAAATCAAAATAATATGCGAGGGAGGATGGGGAAAATTTAGAAAGAAAAAACGAAGGAAAAATGCGGTGTTTATTTTTGAAACGCGAAAAGTGCAGTGCCGAAATAAGCGCTAAAAGCGAATGAAATGAGGAAAACGCGCAGATAAATGAAATGAAAAGTTAAAAATAAATATATATGCCATGCGGCTGGGAGGAGAATCAAGCAGAAAAAGAAGAAGAGCCAGAGCAGAAGCGAGGGACGTGATTTCTCTTTATTTCGCCTGTCCGTATTCTGGCCTCCTATACTATACCCCTTCCCCTTCTTTTGCTCAAATGTACGCCCACCGACTGTCCGCAGCATCCAACCAAAAATTAGGAAACATTAAAAAAAGAAACAAAAATTCATTCACAGCGCACATGTTTTTGTGGCCATTGCTGTGTTGTTGCCTTCGCCGCCTCCGTTTCGTCAGCTCGTTTATCCTGCCATCCTTTTTGGCCGCTCTCCAAAGATTCTGATTCGATTTTTCCCACTCATCTGGCATTCTCTCTTGTTCTCTCTTATGCGACAGCATCTCAGTCGCTCTCTCTCGCTGCCTCTCAGCTGCTTTGTTTGTCCGCTTTTCGCCAAAAAATAAAAATAACACAAAAATATATAGAAAAACTTGTAATAAAATCGGTAATAAAGTCGGAAATAAATCTAACGAAAAACAGATGATGAATTTCGTTTCATAAGTCAATTGGACGGCGAATAGCAGGAAAAAGTGCAGACGCGCGAAAGAAAAAGTATCTCAGGGATGCGTAGTAACGCAGACAATCAAATCCCTTTGTGTGTGATCAAAAATCGAAAAACAGACAGCAAAAATACAGTCAGCGCAGTGTATAGTGAACATTTAAAGGCAGTCAAACTTATTCTTATTGTTAAAAATAAAGTAATATTATGTTAAAACAAGTGTGCCATGAAGTGAAGCTCGAAATATAAAATTAAAATAAACATAAAGCTTAAAAGCATACAGAAGAAAATATAAAATCCTCATTTTTTAATGTAAAGTTTATTATTTTTTCAATAACTGCAATTATCAACACAAATAATTCAGAAATATAATTTCTCTTATCAGTAAAGCGATAAGAATAAATATTTGACAAATAATTCTAATAGAACTTATATTTAAATGATTTTTGAACGTAATTTCCGGTCAAAATTGGTCTTAAAGGATTTGAAATTGCTTTTATGAGACTATTTTATTTTAATAATACTTAAAAAGGAATAGTTTTGATTTTTTATAAACGGTTTTTTAAAAGTTATATGACCACCAATCCATCTAAAAAACAAAAATAAATCGAAATAATCGTCGAAAATTGCATAGTTCTTACTGTAACTGTCTGTCTTTTTGCCGCCCCCTCTTCGATTCCTCTTATTCGCCTCTTTCGCATCATCTCTTTTGTCTCGCGTTTGCGCCGTCTTTTTTGCGCATTTCCCTTTTGGCTTGCTGTTTAGGTTCTGTTTTCGTTACGTTTCGAAAAATTAAAACATCCAGGGAGTTTTCAGTTCAGAGTTTCCCAGGAGGCCCACGGAAAGCCACCCCTATAAAAACAACAAAACAAGAATTTGTACTTTATATACGAGATATTGCCATAACGTCCTCGCTCTTTCGCTCAAATCGCGCCCCATCTCGCTTGCTCGCACGTGCGACATTGAAATATAACACACATATATGTATATTTTATAATATATAATAGTTTTGCGTGTGCGGGGCAAATAATTTCCACATAAAGTGCAAAAACGTGTTCGAAAACACAAAATATATATTTATTATTTTCCTTAATTTCTGACTTACTTATTTTGTAGTCAAATGTCAATGTGTTTCTAAACAAAGAAGGATACGAAAATTGTGCCAAAAAACCAAGATAAATAATCTAAATAAATCAAAAATAGTAATTTGTAAAAAAAAAACAAATGGTATATTTGCAAAAGTGAATGGAAAAATAGTGAACTACCCTTGTGAACAACCCCCTGCAAGTGCACGCAGAGAAATTGTTGAGTGAAAAACAGGAAAAAGAAAAAAGTGAAGGAGTTAACATCATTTGCGAGGCCACTGTGAACATAAAAAGCCGTCAAACTGTGGGGCTCAGGGGCATTTTTTCTTCCTCCGCAAGGAATGTATTATCCGGTAAGCAAAATCCAAATACAAAAACAAATCTAAAGTAAACCTTGGCTAAAACAAACATTGCCAAACATCGCGAATCGTAAATACCACAGGCAAGCAACAATAAAAAGCAAACTCAGCTCTATTACGATGTTTGCTTGCCCGTCTAAAGTTGCATTTTCCAGCTGGGCTTCACCCGGTTGTACAGTGGTAACTTGAAGAGAGTTACCTACTGTGGTTTGTTACAAAAATTACCCCATTTATTATGATCTTCCAGAAGGATCTAAACATTTATCTCTTGAAAGGGCTGTTTTCCCTTTGAAAATTTTGTATTTTTAAATTAAACTCCTCCTCATTTTAAAGATAATATTAAAAATAAAGCCTACCTTTCCCTAAGTGATAGTATAATATTTAACCAGGGGCCACTGTATTCCCCTCGCCACTATTTACTTTTTCTTTCATCCGAAGTCGCAGTCTCTGTGTGTTTTAGTCTCGATTTAAGGCGAATCTTAGCCCGTGCTAAAATCCTTATTAGTCAAACTCTCCGTTTTACACACCTCCTCTCCCTTTCTAGCCGCTGTTTCTGTCTCTGTTTGTTTACCTATTTGCTTAGACGACAGCAAATAATGTCTAATGTTGTAGTCACACGTGTGTGAGGTTCCTCCAAAAAAAAAAAAATCGGGAAAAAAAAGAGAATAAATAAAGCCCTCTTTGAGCCAAATGTTGACTTTGTCTTCGTTTTCTTTTATTTTCTTTATATATATGCGGGACAATTATTTGAGGGGGGTAGAGAAGCGGGGGGTAATTTGATAGCCAAACCAAAAATGCGGGTCGAATTTGCGGCTATTTGGATTTCTGATTTCGGATTTTCGCCTTCCCTCGACTTCCCCACTTGACTTTTGGCCATGTTTATGGTTTGATTTTCTCATTAAAATCAGATACAAATACAACACACAATAAGTTCTTAATATTATATAATTATCTGGCACCAATTTATTGCCTGTTCATTTGATACTTTCATTGTGTTAACAAGAATCGCTATTCATTATTCTTATTTTTTTTTGGCCATTTTCCCACGTTTGCAAATAAATTTGGATTTCTTTTATTAATTTATTTCATTTGTCTTGTCTTCTCTTTTCTTTGCAGGTACGTTTGATATGCGAATTCTATGGGTAAAAAACTACTCTAATGTCATAAGATTGATAAGGAAGTTGGCCTGGTCCTAAGCATAGACCAGATTTTGATGAATGGCCGTAGAAGCTGCTTTTGCGGTTAACGATGGGGTCTTAATGATGTCAGACCGGTGATTTGACATTGAAATTGGTTACTCAAGCTAGAATGGGTTTTTTTTTCGGAGTTTGTTTTTCAAGAAAATTAATGGATATGTCAGTTTAGTGGTTTTATAATGGTTAAGTTTAAGGAGTTATTTGGTTTTAGTAAGGAAAAGTTCTTTTGAAAGGGTAAAAGGCTTGAGGGGAAAGTGTTTTTATACAACTTGTTCTTTAGTTCTTAAAATATTTATTCGATATGACGACTAAAATATAAGTTTTATTCTAGTTCACTCTATTCTTGCCCCATTAATCAAACACCCATTAAAATTTCTTTAAGAATTCCCATTACTCAAGTCTCAACTTGCTTTATAGCGTACTTAACTAAAAAGACTCAACTTTCTAGACGACAGCTATAAAATTTTTTTTAATAATTTCGCAATTGCTCAATGTCGTTGTCAACGCCCTGAATCGATTTATAGTTTCAGTTTATTTCGCAAATGTCACTCAAATTAATTGCAATTAAAAGTTTGCCTCGCCAACTTGCACTAGTCGTAGTAGCAACTAAAATTTTCAAACGTTTCGCACATGCGAAATAAATCCCCAATGAACAGGCAGATACTAAGAGGGGGGAAAAAAATATAGTTTGTGTAAGAAAAAAAAAGAAATATAAAACCAAAATTGCGTCGCATTAAGTGAAACCTTCCTGGCCTGGTCCACCGATTTTTCAATTGAAAAATTGCACATAAATTGCATAAAACTGTTATACGTCGACGGCGGCTGGCATAAATTGTATTTCAGATGTGGTTTTTATGGTAAAGCAGTGTGTTTTTTATTATTTCGTTTTTTTTTTTTAAATTTTGTGGCAGAGAGATCAGAGGAAGTCCATTGTGCGTGCGCACTTAACCGCAAAGTTTTGGTCAAGATTTTGTATCTCAACTCGAATAGTTTGAGGCATTTACAAACAGTGTGTATCAAGATTGTAAAATTGCAAGATGAACTCTTCAATTATACTATGAAAAATCATAAAAATTTAGTAGCTTTCTGAATGATAATGGTCACGAAGCATAAATAATATGGTTATTTCTTGGCTTGCCACATAAAACAGCCTCTTAAATTAACGTAAAATCATGAAACGCACTGTATCTAAAGCAGATATCTCTTTGTCCGTCTTTATGCCTGCTATTAATTATGTTTATTTTGTGTTTATAGCGCTTTGAAGGTTGTTTGGCATCTCAAATGATTTTCATGTACGAAATGACTTTCACTCAATTAGTCTTACACACACATTTTATGTAGGCATGTGTCCGGCATTTTCTTAAGTAGATTTTCCATTTTTTCCATTACCCAGAGTGGCCATCAATCCCTCAACTGATTGGATAGATTCTTGTCATATTTCAATTTCTCATTTTACCCGCTTACCTACCCCCCTCTTGATTGATGGTGCTTTATAATTTTCCACGAGGGGGGAGGGAACCTTTTTTCGTAGAACAGGCAAAGTAAATGTAGAAGTGGCAGTGCATAAGGCCCGCATCTAATTGAGTCCATTTCCATTTTTCAGGCCAAATGATATGACAATTTATTTCAATTAAAGTTGATTTAAAAAATTGCCATTCCGCCTACTCGCTCGGGTTGGCTATCTCGCTCTCCAGACGCATATACAGCGATGATAGAAAAATCTATTTAAATTTCTTAAGTCAATCCAGATAAGACTCTCCCTGAAAGTTATATAAAATCTGGGTTACCTTTTACTTTCAAATTGTTTGTTGATAAATTAGCAACAATTAAGGTCGTCAAAAGTGTATAAATAAGGTGCTGACGATAAAGATCCCTTTTGCGTAATACATTTGGAATGTAAATGGCAAATAAATTGATATTATTTTCAAGTATTTTATTAAGTTTAAGGCTTAATTTAAATAGGTGCCTGGCGACTGGCTAAAAGGTAATTAAATCCGGGTGCGATAATCGTTAAAATGCTCTTAAAAATGCATGTACCAGTTTTGCACAAAAATTTCGAAAAATGGCTCTCAAATAAAATTAGCAAACGAGTAAATTGAATATTTAAAATTAACACAATGCAAATTTGCTGTAACTGACAAGTTCACAGCTCGAGATGAAAGAGCCAAAGATAAACAAACGTTGGCAGTGGAAAATACAACAAAAAACCTGAGGCAATGTGAATGACCGAAACTTTTTTCCCCCCTCTCTCTCTCTCTTAGCTGAGTGAAACGTTTAAGCCAAGTTTCATGCAAATTATTCGGTTCAACGAATGTGGGTCTACCAAGGGGGGGCGAAATGTGGTGGTAAAAAGCGGGGGCTAAAAGCTAATCGCAGGTGTCAGTCACACGAATATATTCCAGGTATATTCCCCCTCCCCACCTAACAATTAGCAAGATCGTCGCACGCCCGCTTTTTGTTTTTTTCTTAGATATATATTTTTTATGAGTCAGCAACAAGCGGACAAAACTTGGTCAAAAGTGTAACAGGTTTTCACCCAGGCTTGTCATTGTAGTGCAGTCGCCAAAGGTAACGGTATCTGTAGCAGCCAAACAGACGGATCGGTGTGGGGTATATGTTTATGGCATTATCTTAGTTTTTAGAGCGATTTCATAATACCTTTCGTTCCGCATGAGCGGTCAGCTCAAGATCAGCTCGATTGAAACTAATTTAATTAGGGGTATTAAAATGATAGTAGAATAATGTTTTATTAAGTGGATCAAGCAGTAAAAAATGTAATTTTTATTAGGAAAATTTTATGGAATTTAAGTTAAGTTGTAACTTTTATGTGGAATTTATTATTAATATGAAAATTTTAAGAAAAAATCTGATTAAAGGCATTTAAATTAGGAAAAATAGATTGGTCTAGTAACTAGACTGTAGTTAATAATAAATATAAATATTTTTAGCGATTGCATGGCATAACCCGAGGTTTATTTTAAATAATTTTCAAGCCACGATCCTCCAATTTACTGCAATTTGCACAATGTATAGCCTATAATGGGTACTTAGTTCCGCTCATTTTTACACTCGACTTTTTTATGGTTTTGTGAATTGTTTTCACTCCATTTCTCGGCTACCATTCAGCACAGCCATTAGTTTTCATTCATTAGCAGTACAAGTGCAGTGCATCAGTTCAGCTTCTTCGTTTTCTTGTATTGCAATCTCTTTCGGCCTCTCTCTCTCTCTCTTTATCTGGCTCTTTGTAACGCCCCCACGTGCTTTTTTGAACGCTTTTGATCGCTCGCTGACACAGTCGACAAATTTTTATTGCCGCCTCGAGTTGATCTCGGGCTTTTGTTTTGCTTTTTTTATTTATTGCGGCCGGCTTTTGTTTTCATTTATCTTCAATGCTCTTCTCTCTCTCATATTCGTTGGTATATATGTTCATATTTTTTTTATAGAGAATATTTTTCGGTTTTTGTTATTTCTATTTTCCTTTGGTCACTACTGCGCTGGGCTACTAAATTTACATTTTATTTGCATGTCATAAACGAGATTTTATTGTAGGCATGTCGTTCGTGCATATATTTGATATTTTTTTTTTTTGTGGGTTTTAGACAAAATATTTTGCTATTGAGTAATCCCGAAAAATGTCTATAAAGTCTGGCCAAGAACAGTGCGTTTCGTTTAGATATAGAAATATATTTGAAATATAAATATGTATGGCTATATTTTCTAAACTTTATAGAGGTTATAAAACTAAATTAGAACTTAAATTACTTAAAATATTTTTCTTGTTATTTATATAGTAATGTT